GATTCAATTTGTGAGGGAAATTCTATGGTTCAACCACCTTTACTTGACGGATCCAATTATTCATTTTGGAAAGCTCGATGAGATCGTTTTTAAAATCTGTTGATGAAAAGTTTGGCAATCTGTCATGTATGGGTGGACCGCAACCGACGATTACTATTGATGGAGTAACTTTCCCCAAACAAATTGATAAGTGGGATATAATTGATTACCAAAATAGTAGCTGGAATAGTAAAGCTATCAATTCTCTCTTTTGCGCCGTCACACCTGAAGAGTTTAGTTGTATTTGCAATTGTGAAGTCGCAAAAGAAGGCTTCGGATATCTTACAAACTATTCATGAGGGCACTCCTTCTGTTAAAATCTCAAAACTTCAAAGGATCACGTCTAGTTTTTGAAAACCTTTCAATGAAAGATAGTGAGACCTTTGATGAATTTTATGCAAAATTGAGTGACATTATAAATTCCAGCTTTAATTTTGGTGAAAAAAATACCGAAATCCAAGATTGTAGGAAAAATTTTAAGGTCCTTGCCCGATCGGTTCCAACCAAAAGTTTACGGCTATTGAGGAGGCTCAAGATGTTGACAACCTCAAGCTGGATCATTTGGTTGGAAATCTCTAAACTTATGAGGCACATAGGAATTTTAAAAAGAAACAAAAAGATGCTATCGCTTTTAGTAGTGCGTATAGAGTTGGAGTGGATTTGATGAGGATTGTGAGATAGATTCCAAGATTACGGATGCTTTTTGAAAAATAATTTAAAAAATCTTTTCTGAAGAAGAATCCTAATCTTTTGGAATCTACTCATACTCATAAATCTAAAGGCAAAGATAAACTCAAAATTAATTCTATAGCCAAGAAGGAGAAATGAAAGATACAAGGGAACTCTAAAAGAGTCCAATGCTATGAATACCAAGGATTTGGCCACTTTGCTCAAGATGCCCTACTCTTTTGAGGAAGAGAAAGCCCTCGCTATCACTTGGGATGATGAATCAAAATTTGATAAAGATGAAAGTGACAATGAAGATCAAGGCGAAGAGGGACATAAACAATTCCTTGCTTTCATGGCGCTTCTGAAACTGAAGAACATATAGGGTATCCGAAGAGGGCCGATTGAGAATGTCAGTGATGATGAATCCTCAAAGTAGTGATGATGAAGAGCTTCAGCAAGCTTATAAAAAATTGTATAAGGAATCTCTTAACTTATCTAAATTGAATGACAAACTCACTTATGAAACTCAAAGCATGTGAAAGTGAGAATGTCAAACTAAAGGAGGAGATTTTCGAGGCTAGGATTGATGCCATCAAGATATCTAATGATCGACAAGTCATTTGTGCAAAACTCTTGACTTGGTGAGACAGAGAGGAATAAGCTACAACAAATCTATGCAATGTATAAAGAAAGAATGAAACTCTTGAGATGTCTCAAGGTGCCTTAGAAGAGCTAATTATCAAGAAAGAGGAAGAGCTCAAGTGCGCTAATGGCAACCATTGGCTTTGGAACTAACGATCAAAAACTTTGGACAATATCATTGGGTCTCAACAAATTTGTTCTGACAAGAGTGGCATTGCAAAAACAGAGTGCATCCACATCTTATGATACAAGAACTCTAGGGCAGGGGGAGCACAAGATTCAATGGGAGGAAAGACTTAAATCTTCCTAGAGTTGGTAGGGCCAAAGAAAAGAAGGTACACCCTATACACCCTGTTTTATTTGTCATCATTGTGGTGTGTATGGTCATATTCGCCCTTATTGTTATGAGTTGCATGGGAAGAGTGTCTCATAGAGATAGAAGAAATTCCAACATCTCGAGGGTAGAGACACTTTGTTGGTGGTATTGAGGTTAAGGATCATGTTAGACCTCGTTATTTTGATGCTTGAGACCAAAAATGATCAGAGGTTGTGTTTTCCTAGACCTAGGAACAGGAAGTTAGAAACCATGTCAAGACGGGTCTCATTGAAGGGAAGGGACCACAACATCAAGACACCACCCAGAACCGCCATTCTCACAACTTTGTTCATACTAAAGCGGTTTGGGTGAGAAAACTTGACTTGTGTTAATTTGTGTATTCGTTTTAGTTTTTGGGTTTTAGTTTTTGTTTTTTTTCTTTTTGGGTCATTAATATGTGGTTAATCATTAGTGTGCCCTTGTTCATTTTATGTCTTGCTTTATTTTAGAGAAAAAAAATAAAAATACAAATCAAAAAGATTTTCTAGTATGGTTTTGCAAGCTTGAAATTTTTGAGTAGTCCTTGGTGCATATTGGAATTAATGAGAATATCCATTACATTGTTAATATGTGTGTATTTTCTGTGGTCATTATTCATTTCGGAGTGTGTGTTCTTTGATTAGTATGTCTCATTCTATCATAACCTTTAGATTAGCAATTTTGGAGTCTTCCCCTTAGTGATCATTTTTCTTTATGGACTTCTGGCATTGTATCTTTTGTTTTTCAGAGGAATTGACCTATACTAAGCATCATAGGTGATGTTGAGTCTCTTAATCCTCCATCTTTTTGCATCTCATGGCTTTCCCTTCTGATGTTCCGTTGTAGTCCAACC